TCCGTACCTGTTCTCACGGTTAGCGAGGAGCTGAAGATGCTCAGAAGTATGCCTTGTGGAGTACAGGTTGATTCCTGATGTATGAACGTCCCGAACCCATCTTCAATGGTGAGATAAAGAATATGAAATAGGATCGCAGTTTCCATGATCTGCCTCTTGGAACTTCTGCCAATGTGAGGGTGACTGGGCAACGATTCCAATACTAGAAATAGTGTTTGTTGAGCACACACTTCACTCACCTTGTCTATCCCAAAAGGAGGCAGGTAATAACTGCACAGCAAATGGGTTTTCAGGGTCCTTGAGGAACATATTACGTTAGCTTGGTCAGTCCCTGAAAAAAAAAAATCTTTGTTTCTTAGGGTAGTTACAAACAAGGTCATAGTTTGAAGACTGGAAACATTTCTAATCCTTCAATATGCAAATGACGCATGCCAACACTAATATGTAAATGATGTATATGCAAATGATATGCAACAAGTGTCAATCATTTTCCAAGAACCCTGACCTTACTAGGAAACAAAACAACATGTCAGAAACTGATCCTATGGCAGCTAATATATGCACAGCTTGGATGCATAATTCAAAACTTTCTTGGGCTTTAATCTTTCCAAAGCTCTTTCTAAAATGCAATTTATGTTATCAGCTTTTTTCATTTGCGATTTCTGGATTCTATGCCACATCGTTCCTTCTCCATACCTAGAGGATGAAAAACATTCTTCCATCTTTCTCTCGTTCCATCTAGTGTGTGTACCTTATGTTTCCTTGCACATATTTAAGTCTTGCTTCATTGGCTTCTGCTTGACCTGATATTCACTCATGGAGCACCCCCTCTACTTCCTGTCCTATTGCCCATCATGCTACAGCATGCCGATGAGGGCTCTAGGTCTGTGGAAGGATTCAGCATGTGCTGATCACTCAGGTTATCCAGAACATGCCTACCCTGTGCTTTTAAATTACCATACAAATAAAAGCATAATCAGAATATTGTTTTAGAGACACTTCCAGTGATGTGTCTGTGGCGAGCCTGTGTAGTCACATTGACACTATGCAATGTGGCCTGGAACAATCTGATATCTGCCCTGTAATTTTTGATTCTCGTTTCTGCCACGTTTTCCTCAGTATCCTGGTGTGACTGATTCGTCAGTTTTAAAAATGTGGAACTTGGTTTTTTTTACATATATTTTTCATTGCATTTCATTTTATAACAACATTTCATAGGCTCTGATGTTCCCCCTCTCACCCTCCCCCCATGGTGGATTGCTCCACTTTTTTGCAGTATTAGAGTTCAAATCTAGTCTTGTTTCTTTCAATGCAAGCATGTGCCTTGCATAGAGTCCAGCATCTTATTGCCCAGCTGAATTCAACAGTTTCTTGGGGAGACCAACTCTGGTCTGGAGACATAGCTGGCAGATTATCATTCCGACCAATTAGATGCCATAGCATAACATCAACAACCATTTCCAATATTATGGGGTTAATTAACATTGTATTGAGTGACTGATATGTTAGAGAATGCGAGTTCTTAACCGCATCCTGAGACTACTTCCTTAACGTTTCAATTAGAGTTTGTATACAACTGGCTTCTATCCACCTTAAATTGGCTATAGGATACTGTTCAACTATCTCATGTCTATTTTCATTTTAGTATTTAGCAGTTTATTGTGTTGAAGCATAATTTGTACTGAAGTAGGCGGATTTTGTGATAGTCTAATCTGGCTTATATCTTTAGGAAGGCATGTGACACCTGTTGAGGCATAGAACGCTGTTGGGAGGGGTGTGCAGAGAGATCCTCCATACCCTAGTTAGCAGTTGTTTCTTTTCATGTCCTACCTAGTAAGGTATGTGTGAGTCCCCACTGATCATTTTCTGTCTAATTCTAAGTTTTCCTTGTTGTTCTCTATTTTAAGTTTTTTTGTTGTTGTTGTTGTTAGAATGGATCCCTGTAGAAGCACTGTTTTTGGTGGCTGGTGTTGTGGCCTAGCAAGGAAAGCCATCACCCACAATGCTGGCATCCCTTGTGGGCACTGGTTTGTCCCTGGCTGCCACATTGTTGATCCATTTCCCTGCTAACAACATGGGAAAAGCAGAGGACGATGGTCCAAGTGTAGGGCGCCTGCCACTGACATGGGAGACATGGAAAAAATGTCCTAGCCCTCTGTATCTAAACTCTGATTTTTAAAGAAATAATATATAAATAGTATAACATATAAATAAATAAATAAATACAATCAATCAATCAACCAATCAATAATTTAAAAAAAGAAACAATTTTATTAGAGATGAATAGGTGCCTATTCCGGCCCACCAAGGCCTACCACTTAATTCTATCATTATTATATGTGCCTGGACTCCCCATATTCCACACAGGATATGTGCACATGCAATCGCTTACTAAGAGCATGGACTGCAGAAGCAGAGTTCCTGGTTCAGGTTCTGGCTCATTTCCCTGTTAGAAGTAGGCCTTGAGTGAGTGTTCACTCCTCCGCATTTGTGTGTAACATGGCGATAATACTTGTGGCTATCCAGCACGTGTGTCAAGAAGAGTTTAGAAGAATGTCCAGCATATGGCAGGTGCCATAAAACTCTAAGCCGTGACTCAGTCCCTTTTTTCCTGTGCTAAGTGTGTTGTGAATTCCAACTTTTGATACTGGGTCCTACAGTTTGAGTGTTCTCCAAAATTTCATGTGTAGATGCTTATACCCAGCTTCTTCATTCCTTTCTCTTCCCCTGGGCCTCGGAGAGGGCCCAGAGCCTGACCCGTGCTGCATAGGCCCAGGATCCTTGGAGGGGATGTGGGATTACAGCCGGGCGTTCAGGCTTGAGTCCTGCCTGGAAAGCACGGGGTGAAGATTGTATATTCTTCGACATATGTAGCTGGCTGTACACTTTTTGTACTAGAGGGTGCAACCTTCTCTTTTTAAATATTAAGGGCTGTGTGGGGCTGGTGCACCCCTTTCTCCTGCTGCTGTGAAGACTGGCTAACAGCTCACAGCTCCTCTCTGCCTCTTAGGAAGCTCTTAAAGGAGACAGCCACTCAACTGCTCTCTCCTGCTTCTCCAGTCCAGCGGCTTAGCCACACGCCAGGGTTACCTAAGGCCCCGTCTCTTCTTGCTGCTTTCTCCATTTCTTTGCCACACACATTCTTACAGCTTTTCCTCTAAACAGCACATTTTCAGTGAGTCACCTGTACCTGTTAACTTTTTTTTTTTCCCCAGAAACCTGAAATACCAGATGCGATAAGACACTCAAGGAGGGCTTTATTTCAGTAGGGGGAGGTAGCCATGGGGCAGGGACAAAGCGGGAGCAGAGAGAGACAGAGAGAGAGAAAAGAGCAAAGTAGAGAGAAACAGAGGGCACCAGAAGAGAGAGAGAGAGAGAGAGAGAGAGAGAGAGAGAATGAGAGAACAAAGGGAAGAGGCACTTTTTTTTTAAAGATTTATTTTATTTTTATTGGAGAGGCGGATATGCAGAGAGGAGAGACAGAGAGGAAGCTCTTCCATCCGATGATTCACTCCCCAAGTGAGCACAACGGCCGATGCTATGCTGATCTGAAGCCAGGAGCCTCTTCTGGTCTCTCACACAGGTGCAGGGTCCCAAAGCTTTGGGCCGTCCTTGACTGCTTTCCCGGGCCACAGGCAGGAAGCTGGAAGGGAAGCGGGGCTGCAGGGATTAGAACCGGCGCCCATATGGGATCCTGGGCATGCAAGGCGAGGACCTTAACCACTGCGCCATTGCGCCGGGCCCGGACAGGCATTTTTATAGCCTCGAGGTGGTTGTGGGGAGTGTGGGGTCAGGGATTGGCAGGTGCGGCTGTAGGTGGGCACCAGGGGCAAATGCCTCAGGGGATTGGTGGAGGGCAGGCTTTGAACGTCCTCAGGGTTCTTCCACACCTAGAGTCAGCACACATGTGCACACCACCTCCACCGTCCTGGTCAATTGCAATGTCAGAGGGACAGTGGGATGAATAGCCCTCACCCAAACTCACCAAAACGTCAACACATTGGTCCAGAGGCATACACAAAAGCACACACACGCATAGTCTCAAATGCAGTCAGGCAGAATAGCTCACGCCTGCCCATGAATGAGATTAGTGTCTGAAAGTGCATTTTCTAAAGCCTGCTTCTTCCCCACCTGAGCACTCCTAGAGAAGTCCACCCACTTGCTTATTACCTTCTTTTGCAAAGGGTGCTTCAAACATTCATGGCAATGGAATGCAAAGATGTTTATATTTTGGCACAACATTTTCAGAAGCTCATGCATATTTGCCCATAATATATATATATTTTTTTTTCTATTAAATTTATCAATATCCTACATATGTATGAATCTAAAAAAAAAATTAGCCCTGGGGCACAGTGGGTTAGCTGGTGCCTGTGACACTGCCATCTTGGAGCACGTGTGTGTGTGTGTGTGTGTGTGTGTGTGTGAATAACGAGTTAGGACCACAGGACTACAGGGCTAAAACTGGGGCAAAAATGGGAATATGGTGGAAAGGACACCCAGCTTGGTTAAGATTGGCTCCCCAGAGGGACTGGCATTGAAGCTGAGCTCTAGTTGTTTCCAAGCCTGAGCATAGGCTTAGGTGAACATTGCTGACACCTAACCTGTCTGTTAGTGGCTGCTTATACAGGCACCCAGCTCAGGCACCTTAAAGGCCACCCTCGTGCTTTCTTCTTCCTAGAAGACCTGGCAGCAGGCACCTGGCAGAAGGCTCCTCTGTGCCCTTCCCTCTTGTTTCCCACATACCAGCAGGGTGTTGAGCCTATTCTTTGGGGCTGGCTGCACCAGGGCTGCCCGCACCAGGGCTGCCCTTGCATGTCCCTGGATACAGCCCAGGACCAAGCCCTGGCTGGGCTTGCCTTGATGGTGAGGATGGATGTTGGGCTATTCCAATGTAGGTGCAATCTAATATTCATGTCCTCATACTTACGAGCCTGTTATTAATTCCAGGAAGCCAGGATACACCTTCCAGAAAAAAGCAATTTAAAAATCCCATGGTGTTTCAGTCTTTACAGTGTACTTGATTTATTAAGCCAGGATTCTATTGTGAGAAACAAAGCGGTGCCAGCGTTGAGCGTGGTGACAGTTTGTCCTGGGACTGTACATCCACGACGTGCTTGCCGTGACCTCTTGCTGCCCATTTGCTCATTTCTGTGCTGCTCAGAGTTCCAGGCAGAAGTTTATGGAGCTCCCTTCCATCTTCTTCCTGTACAGCTCATCCAGCCTGTGGTTCTGGGCCGCAGTGAAGTGGTTCTTCCAGTCTCCTACGGTTCCTGGGAGGGAGCATCCCAGAGAGCAGTGTTATTCTCAGGTTAGCAGGCTCGTTGGCTCTGAGTGACCCATGTGGAATGGCTGCAGAGACCTGACCTGTCACCACTCCTGCCTCCCTTAACTTTCCTTCAATGGACACGTATCACCTGTAACTCTTTGAAAAGCAGCTCTCATGGAATCTCTATGGAGAGGACAAGCAAGGGAGCTGGTTACCTGGCCAGGCTGACCTCACCCATGGTATATGCACACACTACACACCGCACAGATGTGGCAGCCACACAGCCACACAGAGGAATCTTACAATATCACATGCAGACACAAGAAAGCATGTGTTGTGTATCCCATTATATGGTGTCCACAGATGGACAAACCCAAAACCACAGGGGTGGTGATTCGAATAGCAGCTGTCACTGTGGGTAGATATGGACTTGACAAAGATATGGCATGACATGGAACTTCCCAGGGTGATGAAAAATTGGGGCTCTTGATGGAGGTGCTCCCAGTGTGGCTGCCTATATTTACCAAGATTTCTTGAAGTGTAGATTTAAGATCTGCGCATTTTTAGGTGGCTTATATTTTACGAATAATAGGAAACATATGAATGAGATTATATATATGTATATATATATATTTTTTTTTTTTACCAAGCAGTAACTTAAAAACAGTTTTAGGTAGCTGAATATCCTTTGAATATCCTTGTCCTGCCAATGCCTTCAGCGGTAAATTCAGGACAGGAGAATTAAGAAATGAGAACGAATGCACAAAGAAGTTGACTGTGGCATTTACCCCTAAGGTTTGAAGTGCTAGGGCCTCCCAGTGATCTGTAGGTTGCACCTCCTTTGTTGTTCCCTGGGGATCCTCACATTGGGACAGCTTGCAAGACTTCCTGTTGCTGACAACCATCCCAAAGGATTCTGTCCTCCAGCAGGGTCCCACTGCCAGCTTTATAAGAAACAGCTGTGGTGATTTACAGACATACGCTGTGCTAGACTCAGTGAACCCTAGCACCATCTTGCTCAAACTCAGGCAGCATGTTGGAGACAAGCTGAGCATGTGTCATGAGGAGCCACTCGCCTTTTCTCATGAAGGGGGAGATGGACTGGTCCATGATCGACTTTGGAACTGTAGAGCGATTGGTCATGGGATTGTCTTTCATTTTTTCAAAGGAGGTCTCCTGGACGATTTTCTCCAGCACTACTTCATCCAAATGCTTTCCCATGAACTGTGCCACCTTCTGAATCTCACGCTTTGGATCCTGCGGTAGCATTGGACACGAGGGACAAGATCAGAAGAGTGACTTTGCATTCTCTGTCCCATGCCCTCCCCACACAATACAGCCCCCAGACAGCTTTGGTGCTCTCCACCCTGGGTCTGAGGAGGTTCTCAAGGGCCCTCACTCACTCACCTTCTTGATGTCTTCATAGAAGAGAAAGAGAATCTGGTATCTGTCTTTCACTGCCCACCATCCTTTCACATGATCAAACCAGGAACCCCAAGCCACTGTGACAGACACAGGAAAGAAAGAAGTCTACGGCAGGATCGTACAAGACCTCCCAAGGCCCGGGAATTCTGCTGATCTGAAGTACTCGAGAAAGAGAAGAGAAGTGAGGATCAGACATGTCCTGAGGCTCTTGCTCGCTTGGATTCTGAGGATGATGTAGGTTGGAAAAGCCTTGAGCCATTTATTCCAACATGCTACCCAAGGCAGCTTCCTGTTTACTCTGTGGGCCAGGTGAGTGAAAGCTTTTGGACTGAGTGGGAGATGTGTGTGGAGGTTAAATGCTATGAAAGAGCCCAACCTGCTCCTCCTAGACTGTGATGGGACTTGCATGTGACGGATCCTTAGGAAGCATACGGCATTCTTGGATTCAAATGCTAGGGTGGTTCCGTGGCTCTGGCTGAGACGCAGTGGACGTTTCCTTTACCTTTTCCATTGATGAAGGTTTCAAAATACTCTTCCCAGGGGCCAGGGTCCGGGAGCGTTTTATTCATCCTCTGGAAATGGTAGTAAGAAACCATGCAGTCTTTGATATTCCGAGCAACGTAAATGAACTATGGGGAAGGGAGAGAGGTGAGTGAATGATCACGGCACAAACTTGTTGAAAGGTGTGATTCCCAAGTTCTCCGTGTATAGCACCAATCCCAGAGTGGTCTCTTGTCTGGCCACCATGGATTGCTGACCAGTGATTTCAATGCTGTGCTGCATTTCACATGGAAACAGCAGGGACTAGTGTTAGAAGGCAGAGGGTTAAGCTGCTGCTGAGGGTGCCTGCGTTCCTGTATTGGAGAGGGATGCTCTGCTTCGGATCCAGCTCTCTGATCATGCATTCGGGAATCAGAAGAGAATGGCTCAAACACCTTTGTCCTTGTCGTTTATGTGGGAGACCCACAGGGAGTTCCTGGTTCCTGCTTGTAGCCTGGACTGCCCTAAGTGCTGTGACCATTTGGCAAGTCAATCAGCGGATAGAGAAATGTCTCTCTCTCTTTGTGTCTGCCTCTTTCTCTGTCACTCTACCTTTCAAATATAATTCACACACACACACACACACACACACACACGCACACACACACGCACGTACATCTACACACACACCCCACCAGTGGTTCTCTCTGCGCTGATGCTTGCGCCCACTAGCGGTCATTTGGCAGTATCTGGAGACATTTTGGTAGTCATCTTGGGATGGCAATGAGGGCTGCGCTGGGCTGATTTCTTCACCTGGGAGTTTCTTGGGCAGCTCATGGAGCAACTGTGAAGGCTGAAGCTTGAGAGATGAGGTCCGTGACTGCACATGCTCAGGAGAGCTGAGGGCCGAGGCGAGGAGAGACAGGTGTCCCGCCTCTGCCTCTCGCACCTGCCCACAGGGATGCAGCCCATCACCAGCCCAGGCTTCCGCTCACCCCAGGCTTTGACCCTGTCCCTGTGCAGCCACTGTAACTCAACGTAGGACCATCCGGCTCAGCATATCCCTCCACAGCATATCCTGTTCAGTCTTTGCTTCCATCTCTGAATTTCAGTTTCCCTTTTGTGTCGCAGCATAATTTTGCTCTCAGTGATACTAAAGAGGAAACTTGAGATGTGTAGCACTCACAGGCGTTTTGCGCAACAGTTGCTGGAGAGCCTTCTGTCACAAATCTTCCAATTGGAAGTCCTCATCCTCTTGGCCAACTTTGCCAAAGGAACTCAAGATGTATGGCGTGACCTTCCCCCTCGCACAGCCCCGCCTGTGCACCTGACCCTCGGAAACCTGCCTTTTGTAGCTGTCTTTCCACTAATGAACGTTTAGCACTTCACCGGCATGTGGGGGCGGCCCCGGGGTAGTGGCTGCTCGGCAGGCAGCTTTGGGCTGTGCTGCTAGAGCAGCTGCTCTCCTACCTTGCAATTGCTTTTCCAGAAGGATGGTGGCATCAGCCGAGTGGGAAGGTGTGTCCTCAGGATCCGTGGAGAGGGCATTGCCCGGGCTCTCTCCACGCCTTTAAATAACACAAGAGGAAACAGCTGCTCAGCACGAACCCTGCCAGGAGACTTTATGTCCCAGGCACCATCCATAACATCCCCCTGCCTACATGTCTTTCTGCTCAGCTCTGAATTTCCTTTTGGGATTCCACAACGGGACCATTGCTGTCACCTTCGCTTTGTAGAATCTCATGGTTTGGGAGCTGGAAGGCCTGTCGCATTGATTTGCTCTGTCACTTTAAGGATGAGGCGACGGAAGCCAGAAATGGACAATGGACTGGTGAACTAGTGACCTCTGCTGAGCTGAGCGAGCCAGCACCAGAGCGCTTGCCAGCCAGAGGCCTCTGGGCACTGGGCCTGTAGTTACCTGTTCTATCACCACTCCGTAGATGCTGACTGGCATGTGCAACAAATGTAATTTCTCATCTCATGTAAAATTCTCACTGGGCACTCACTGTGCAGTCATGTTAAAAAAAAAAAAAAAGAAAGAAAAAGGCAACAAGGACCAAGGGAACACTAAGGAGTTGCAGTTGTAGTGTGAGGAGTTGCAGCTGTCTCCAGGCTCACCTGGGGCTGGATGAGCCAGTGCTGGGTGCTGACTCCAAGGGCCTAGCATGGATGGGTATTATGAGCAGCATGCTTGGTGTGGGATTCTTATACCAACTGATAGGTAGACATTCCCAGCATGAAGGGTCTGGAGCCTTGCCAGATAGAGAAGGGGGTTTGTAGGAACTGTAGATATAAATCTAAGAATAGCAGTTTGTATTGAATGTGCGGCACAAATTATGCTTGGCATGGCTACCCTTGCAGCATCCCTTCTTCCCGGTGTGTTGTCACAGAGAACAGGTGACCAGCTCCATTCTAAGCGTAATCCAAGGGCCCTTGATCCCAGATTCCAGATCCCAGATCCCTGAGGATCTGGGCCCTCTCGTCTTGGTGCTGAGTTTTCCAGAAATGGAATATTAGGCAGAGGGGGACACACAAAAAAGCTGCCTCTCCGTGTTTCTGCTGCCCATTCTGTTGGTACCCTGATCACCTTTGACTTTTGAAAGGCTCAATTTTACAAATGCTGCTCTGGGTGCTACGCCCATCCCCACCATGTCTTGGCTGTACGTGAGCTCTAGCTGCAAGCGAAAAAAATCTTCTCTGACAACTTAAAGCACACACTGTCCTCATTGCACCTGCCCAGCCTTCAAATCTCTGCGTGGTCCAGAAATGAACTGCAACTATCCTAGGCTGGAAAGGCTCCAATTCAGGTACAAGAGTAGGAGCCAGACAAAAAAGAGGGGTTACTACAACATTACAAAACCAATGAAACAGTAAGCTGCAAGAGCAAGAACTGGAAAGAAACAGAGAATTATGCCTCACTTCTTGAGTGTGTTAATAGGGAATATAATTAACTATGTTTAACATTTGCAAAGATATAAAAGAGGACATTGAAAACTTGAGCATGAGGAAGGGACTACCAAAAAGATGGGGGGTAATTTATGAAGAGTCTAGCAGTGAAAACCCATGATGGATGATGCCGTTCAGATATAATTGAAAGAAAAGCAGTGTTCAAGCTTAGGAAGCATGATACAGACAGAGACGAAAACCACGGAGAAAAAGTGACAGTGGATAAAAGGGAAAGGCACTGTGGAGATGGACTGGCTGAGCTACTGTGCAAGGAAGTTGGACCAGTAAGGGATGCGGTCATGATTTAGGAGACCAGTCATAAGCCGAGTGGAGGCCCAGACTGCACCTGGAGTAAGATCTGTTAGAGATGCAAAGGGCAGACCGTGTGTGGGACCGGGACCCCATGGACAGTTCAGAGCAATGGAGGTCCAGGAACTGGCGGGCAATGGTAGCAGCCACCTTCACGGTCGTGACAGAGCCAAGAACCCAAGGGGCCAGTGGCATCAGGGACCACCTGACCTAGAGACACATCATATGCATGTGCATCAGGGCAGGCTTTTCCGGCCTCTGCCAACAATTGCTCTAACGCCAGACTTCAAGGCCAGCTGCACTGATCTTTTCACAGCACGGCTGTGTACACAAGTTTCAGCATTGCAGGGTCTTTCTCCTGTCCTTGCCCTTACAACATTTCCTGCAGTTGCCCGTTCCCAGATGAACTTCTTTTGCCTTCTGCTTGTTTTTCAGGCTTCGTTATTTTGTGATGTGCAAAGAAAAACTCCCGGGTTGAACATTAACCAAAAGACTTCTTCTCTATAGAAAAAACAATTGCCCCCCAAATGCACACTGTATGTACCCGTGAGCGTGACTGCTCAGGTACAACCCTGCGGGTATAGGGCTTTTTAGGGGTGCGGTATGAAGAGAAGGGGTGGCTGATAAATAAACGAAAGAGGATGAAAGAAGGAGGAAGCAACTGTTTTAGAAAACAGAGCGGGGAAGAGAGGACAGGAAGGAGGCGAGCGTGGCGGGGAGCTCTCACCGGAGGGCTGCGGCGGCCGAGCCCACTCGAGGAAAGGGTGGCGGTGTTGAATGAGGTCCCTCTGGCACTTCTCCACGTCCCCGTTCTGCTCGATCATGTCCACAATTTCCTGGATCCACGTGGTCCCTGTGCTCGGAGGGAGAGAGGTGGGGGAACAGACACCTGTCAGGAGGCCTTCAGAGAACCCGGAGTCAGTGAGGAGCTGTGGACCCAGTGCAGCCTTCAGCATCCACTCGGGTTGTCCTGTGCTCAGCGGGACAGATGGACGTCTGTGTGGGATGGACTGTGGGTACAGCAGCCAAGGCAAGGCTAGCACTGCCCGAGGGCAGAGTGGGGCCATGCACCAGTGGGCCAGACCACCGTCTGGTCCTTGGGGAAGTCTAGGGGTTACCACCCATGCCCACAGAGCCTGTCTGGCAGCAGTAAGGAGCAGGCTTCCCGTCACTGGGAATTATAATTTTCCTGAGCAGCTCCTGCTGGCTCAGCGGGGTGAGTTCTGTGCTGCCTGCCCCCGCACAGCCACCTACCTGATTTAGGGTAGGTGCAAATGAGGAGGTCATCCTGCTTGGCTTCAAAGCTCTGGATCTGGTCCCAGTTGTCCACAGTTGTGGCCTGGAGGGGGACTCCTTCCACCTCCTGCATCAGCGTCTGTTTCACTGGCTCTGGTGCCAGGGCCATGGTGTCCCAGAGCGAGGGTCCTGCCGGAGGAGAAAAGAGGAGACTTCAACCAAATTACGGTCAAACACACATGACGACAGCTTGACCATGCTAACCATTGTGTGCGTTGTCAGCAGCGTTCACTCTGCTCCATGTGCATCACCACCATCCACCCCCACAACTTCTTCACCTTCCAGAATGGAAGCTAAAAAAAAAAAAAATTTGGGGGGGGGGTCTTATCTTCATTGTAAAGAAGCAGAGTAACAGAGAGCAATCTTCCAACTTCTGGTTCACTCCCTAAATGGCCACGATGGCTGGAGCTGAGCTCGTCTGAGTCAGGAGCTTCTTCTGGGTCTCCCATATGGGTACAGGAGCCCAGGGACCTGAGCCATAAAAGGAAGATAGATCAGATGGAGCAGCTTGGACGGGCTCATATGGGATGCCAGTGCCACAGGCAGAGGTTTAGTCTACTATATCATGGTGCCTCTCCTGCCCCCAGATGGGTACTAGACCCCCATCCTTCTCCCCCAGGCCCTGGCAAACACTATTCTACTTTCTGTCTTTGTGGACTGTAGACAGTGTTTGTCCATGGCTCCATACTGCACTTATCTTTTTACTTTACTGAGGGTGTTTCTTCAAGGTAGCACGTGACAGAGTGACTTCCCTTTCAAGGCTGAGCAGCACTGCATGTGCGCATGCTCTGGATTTCCTTTACCCACTCATTCACACCGGGCTACTTCTACTTTTGGGCTATTGTGAGCTATGATGCTAATGGATGTTGGTACACGGTTGTCTCTTTGAGTTTCTGCTTTCAGTCCCTTTCAGACCCAGAGATGAGTTTCCGGGTCAAATGGTAATTGCACTGTTAGTTTTTCGAGGAGTATCCATGCCATTTTCTATGGCAGCTGTGCCGTTGTGCCTCTCTGCCAGCTGAGTGGAGAGTGCCAACATCTCCGTTGTCTTACCAACACTTGGTATTTATTTTTATTTGCTTGCTATCTCTTTGAGATTCTAATTTGTGTTTATTTAACAAGATGTTGAGCTTCTTCATAGGTGCTAATTGGCCATTTAGTTGTGTGACTTTCTTTGGGGGAAATGTCTGTTCTTTGCCCGTTGCTGCTTTTTTTTTTCTCATTTTAGAAGTGAAAAATCCTTTGGAACGAAGGTAGAGGAAGTGCGACTCATTATTACTCGAGAATCATGGGTTCCCATGATTGTGGAGGATATTTACTGCTCCTGTTAATAATGAAATGATAATAGTTGAAAGTGCCATTTATTGAGCACTTCAATTTGCTATGAGCTGGCCTGAGTGCCTTTGATATATGAACTCATTTAAAAAGATTTGTTTATTTCTTTGAAAGAGAGAGATTTTTTTTTTTATTCATTGCATCACTCCCTTAGATGGGAGGAAGCGGAGGGAGGCTAGTGCTGGCAGGTTGAAGGCTCTGCCATCTGGATCTCCCACATGGTGCCATCATCTACTGCCGCTAAGTTGCATTGGCAGGAGGCTGGATTGAAAGCGGAGGAGTGACCACTACAACGAGGCATCAAGGCATCGAGGCATCGGGTACTCTTGTTTGGGATGCAAATATCTTAAGGAGTGATTTAACTAGCGTTGCTGCACTACACACCTCTTTGTTAACTCATTTGAGCTCTTATGTAATAGGAGCAACTGAACTTCAGAGCTGGAGGTGTCTTTTCAGAAAACATAACGGGACGTGATTACTGGAAACTGAGTGAAGGAACCTGGCTAAATGCCCCAGGGCCTGCCCAGCATAGCAAGGCCAGATTCCACAATGGCTCTGCTTCCAGACTGAGTCTATCCCTTAGGGTGGAGAATCTATTTTCACAAAATTAAACGTAACTTATTTCTGAAACACTTTATAAAAAGTTGCTGCATTTAAAATTTGTCAAAGGAGGTGGTGTTGGGCAACACTTGAGTTTGTGGTGTGATCAGCTTTGGGGAGATAGAAAAGCTAAGAGGATGTGCAGGCATGCCGTGTTAGGTTGTTTTAGCCAACAGCCCTGTTTTCTGATAAAGGGATAACTATCACCCTTATAAATGTGAGGAAACTGAGAGTCACATGACAGATAACTTACCTGGGATGGTGGCCAGCGTCTGTCTGTAAATCCCTCGTTCCCTCTAAAAACTTGCCTCTGATTCTTAAAATTGTAGTGAATGCATGGAAAACACACACGTGTGTGGGGTATGATGTGATGTTTCACCACATGCGTACATTGTGCAATGTTCCGGTCAGGGCAAGCATATCTATTTCCTCATGGGGAAAACACTGAAAATCCTTTCTTCCAGCTTCTAGAAGCCCAAAGTACGCAGAACTTTACTGTTAGCCGTGATCACTAAAATTTCTCTGTACTTATTGATTTTTTAATCAAAGTTACTTTCCTGAGCTTCTCCTGGATCAACCCAGTGGCCTGATGAACACGTGGGGTGAGAGTGGATGAGCCTGGCAGAATCAGATTATGCCAACCACTTTACCATCACCTTGAGCTTGGAGTCCAAGGAGAGCACAGACCAAGGCCAGGCCTCTGGAAGCCAAGAAGGACGCAAAGCTAGCAATGAACCAGAGCTGGGGTTCCAGCCCTGCAGCTGAGGAGCTGCATTCCGCAAGATAGGTGGGAAGGGAATCTTGTCCGAGTCCCTGAAAGTGTGCACTGCCTGGCCAGAACCTTGATTCTTCCTAGGGACACTTGCGCTGACATGCTGATGGAAGTATGGGTAAAGAAACTTGTGTTAAGCTGTGAATTTTGCAACAATAAACCTGTACATGCTCTCCAAAGCTTGCTGGCTCTCACTGTGGAGTGAACTATATCCTCCAAGCTCACCCCACCCTGTTCTGCGTACATCAGAATTGATTGTACTGGAAGACAGGGCTTTTACGGGGTGATGAAGTTCACATGAGGCCTTTAGGGTGAGCCCTAATTCAATCTGACAAGAGGAGATTTGGACACACAGACCTCATGAGTTGAAGCACATAGAGGGAAAATCAGATAGGGCAGCCATCTACAAGCCTTAGGCACAGGCGTCAGGGAGAACCTAGCCTGCCAGTGTCTTGTCCTCAGACTTGTGGCCCCCAGAACTGCCAAGCAACACGTTTCTGCTGCTCCATAACTCTCATCTGGCATTCACTCACAGCAGCCCGAGCCAACAGATACAGGTGTCTCTGGATGAAGCTCAGAAACCTACTTCTTTTGAAACAAATTAGTAAATAAACATCTTTCCAAAAAAATGAGATACACAAGTGAAGTAATGATTTATCTTGATTTTCCTACATTAATTATACCACTACAGGACCAAGCAGTAGGGAAAAGAACGCTTTTCTTCCTACAATCAGTCCAACAGGTAAATGAACAACTGGAGAAATGGAATGTTCCTTGCAGCCCTTAGTGAATGAAAGAATCTGCTCAATTAACATTCATGGCTTCTAACATCAAGAAAGACGATCCAATGTTTTGTAGCCCTTGCTGAGGATCACATGGCCTGGGAAGTAGGCCTGCTAAAAACATTGAACAGATCTTTGAAAACCAGTTCCCAAGAAATTCAGAGAACACAAGGACACATTCCATTACCTCACAATAATAAACCAATGACTTCCAAACACTGTGGCGGCCACGAGACAATAATGCAATTCTTTGAATCAGATTTTAATGGACTTTGAAAAGAAAGGTGAGGTGAACTTGTAGATTAAAACCAAAGAAAGCACACACACATAAACAAACATAGAACCCTGTGAGGGCATATTAGAAAAACAAAGAGGAAAGGACACGTGGCTGTGTAGTTAAGGTGATGCTTGGGATGCCTAAAGTCCATAGAGCGTCCAGGTTCGGATCCTGACTCTACTTCTGGTTACATTCCTGCTAATGCATCCCCTGGGCAGGAGCAGGTGGTAGTTCAAGTTGTTGGGTCTCTGAGACCCTTGTGAGTTCTAGGCTCCTGAGTTTGACCCGACCGAGCCCCATCTGTTGCAGGCATTTGGAGAAGTGCACCAGTGAATGGGAAATCTCTTTGTCTGTCTGACTGTCTCTGCCACCTTCTTTGCCTTTTACATATATGTAAGTTAATGGATGACTACGTACAATGGCAAATCTACACTATGGTGTTCGGGGACATTCAATGAAGTAACAAGACTATAGGGATTACGAACACACATAAGGGAATTGTTATTTTCAATGTCAGGACAGTAGATACTTCTGAAGGAGGAAGGGGAGAGGCCATGCCCGCAGGAGGAGAGGGACATTGACAAGAGTCTACCTCCTGGTCTGGGTGTCAGCTACAAAGAGTTTGTTTACCTTATAATTATGCCTCAAGGTATAGATTTGCTTTGCTAAAATTCTATATTTGTGGGGCCCGGCACGGTGGCGCAGTGGTTAAGGTCCTCGCCTTGCACGCCCGGGATCCCATATGGGCACCGGTTCTATCCCGGCAGCCCCACTTCCCTTCCAGCTCCCTGCCTGTGGCCCGGGAAAGCAGTCGAGGATGGCCCAAAGCTTTGGGACCCTGCACCCGCATGGGAGACCTGGAAGAGGCTCCTGGCTTCGGATTGGCATAGCATCGGCCGTTGCGCTCACTTGGGAAATGAATCATCGGATGGAAGATCTTCCTCTCTGTCTCTCCTCTCTGTATATCCGCCTTTCCAATAAAAAAATAATAAAAATAAAATCTTAAAAAAAATTCTATATTTGTGATATACTTAGTATGTTTAGCAATAAAGATGTGCATCCAGAATATGAAACCTGGAAGGTAGTGCTGGAATATTCCAGAAGAGGAAGCACAGGCAGCTAGGTTGGTCCCTCCATGATAGACTTTCAAGAGCATTGGGTGCTGCGGTGGGGCAGTGTTAGATGGGATGAGAACAGTCTGGCAGGCCTAATAAGAGCTTGTCAGAGGGCTGCGTCTCACTCCTGAGGCAAAAGGAAGCTGCCAGAGATGTGTAAAGAGCAGACAGCGCCTGCCTAGTGGGACTCGAGAAAGTTCCCTCTGAGTTGAGAGTGAGAGAGGGCTG